GCCGGAGGCTCTAAAGTTTAAAAAAATTACTGATTTTACAGCTATTTTTTCTAATTCAATAGAAATAATAAAAACATTAAGAAGATGAGAAAAATATGAAAAATAGGTCCCAACTCCTCCAAATAATTAGGCAACAAAAATAACATGACTGATTTTCCAGCCAATTTATCTCATTAATTAGAAAAAATAAAGACAAAAGCAAAAACATGACTGGTGTTCCCGCTATTTTAAAAAATGGAATAAAATGACTGATTTGCCAGCCATTTTTCTCATTCATTGAACAAAATATAAGAATTAGAAAAACATGATTGATATTCCTGCTATTTTTTAAATTCCGGCTGGACCCGGACACTTTGAAGCGCAAATGAAAAGGAACTGGAAAGGAAATATGGAAAGGAAACAGAAAGGAAATATAAAACGAAAGGAAATGGAAAGAAAATGGAAAGGACATGGAAAGGACATTTAAAGGAAATGAAAAAGAAATGAAAGGAATCGGAAGGAAATGGAAAGGAAACGGGAGCGAAATGGAAGGGGAATCGAAAGGAAATGGAAAGGAAATGGAAAGGGGCAGGCTCCGTAATTGGTTTCATACAAACTTTATCAGCAGTGAGCCTAGAACCGCCAAGCACAAAACGTGCCCTTTCCTTTCCATGTCCTTTCCATTGTCTTTCCATTTCCTTTTCATTCCTTTCTATTCCAATTTCCTTTCTATTTCCTCCATTTCCGTGCAATGTCCCCTTAATGTCCTTTCCATTTCCTTTCCATTTGTTTTCCTTTTCTATTTCCTTTCCAGTTCCTTTCCTTGTCCTTTTCATTTGGGCTTCAACGTGCCCGAAATCCAGCCGAGGCAGGCTCGGTAATGGATTCTATACAAAACTGTATCGGCAGTGAGCCCCGACTTGCCAAGCACAAACGTTCCCTTTCCTGTCCATGTCTTGTTAGTTGTTGATTGCTTTTGTGTTGTTGATTGTTTTTGTTAGTTGTTGATTGTTGTTGTGAGTTGTTGATTGTTTTTGTTAGTTGTTGTTTTTTGTTTGTTCTTCTGAGCGTCCCATGATGAACATAGAAAAGCATGATTGGGTTTTTAGCTATTGTATCCAACTGATACAACCCTTCGAATTTTGGCAAGTCGCTCGGAAAGTGCCGCTGCCCGGGCCCGGGAAGAGCTTGCTGCGGTACAGGGGCAAGGCCTCCGCAGAGCTCGCGCCCCTCACGTGCTACGCGGACCTCGAGGTCTACAGCACGCCCGCCCCGACGGTCCACATGCGCGCCAGACCGTCGCGGCTTCTTCCTGCTACGTCGCTGTCGGGCGCTGCGGCTACGTGCCGCCCGAGGAGCTGAGGCTGAGGCTCACGCACCACGAGCGGGACAGCGACAAGTTCCACGCCGTCCGCGCCATGCTGGACGACCTTCTCAAGCTGGCCGACCACTACCTCACGTGGAGACGCCGAACTTGGCCCGTCAGCATGACCCGGCGGGAGGAGCTGGAGCACAGGGCCGCCACCCACTGCAGGGAGTGCCTCGCGTCCTTCGAGACCGCAGAGAAGAAGCTCCACCACTGCCACGGCGCCGGGCGGTATCTCGGGGTGCTGTGCCACTCCTGCAACATCGCGGCCTCTGATTTGTCAACCAGTTTTCTCATTAATTGGAAAATGACAGATTGTCCAGCTATTGTGTCTATCTAGTATGCTGATTAATTGTGAGACCAGTATACGGCTACTGGCAGGATCAACCAGGTCAGGAATAGAAAGGACATAAAAAGGACATGGAAGGAATGGCAAAGAAACGGAAAGAAGCGGATCGGACAAGAAAGGAATTAAATGGACTGAAAGTAGAATTAAAATGGAATGGACATGGAAAGGAACTCACCCCTTCAAAGACTTTTCCGCCTTGGTTGGCCTTGATCACTTTATTAGAGAGGAGCGAAAAGGAATGGAAAGAAATGGAAACACCAAAAAGGAAAGACAATGGAAAGAAGTGGAAACAAAATTGGAACGGAAATGGATAGGAAAAGAACTAGACAGAAATACACGAAATAGAAAGAAAGAAATGGATGTGAAATGGAATGGACATGGAACACACATGCAAAGGAGTGAAAGGAACATGGAAAGGGACGGAAAGATGTAGGTATGTATTTTTAGGAAATGGACATGAAACTCGCCCTGTCCAAATTCTTGGCACGGGAAGTTGCGAAACGAGCACGTGTTTGGCCCGGGCTGGCCTTCGGCACTTCTAGCTAGGAATGGAAAGGAAGGAAATGAAATTAAACGAGCGCGTGTTTGGCCCGGGCTGGCCTTCGGCACTTCTAGCTACGAATAGAAAGGAAAGAAATGAAGTTAAACTGGAATTGACATGGAATGGAAATGGAAAGGAATGACAGGGAGGGAAAGGAAACTCGCCTCTTCAGGACCCTTTTGAAAGAAATTGCAAAATGAGCAGTTCCTTTCTGCCTCCGCTTTTACCCAGGATATAGGTAAGAGATCCCAAGAGCTGATATTAAAACAAGCTATCCATCGCTTCGCTAGCTGCCACAACCTTACGACTGAGGAAGAAGTAAATCCTAATGTATAAAAAATTATGCCTCTATATCTGTCCTTCTCATAATCCTTCTCATGCCAACAAAAAGAAGTAAGATTTGGGACAGATAGGTGACTAGGAAATCCTCTATACAAGCCTTCTAAATGCGAACGAAGATATCCAAAAGTAGATTTAATATGCTGTAGATCCCGGTCTTAGGCCGCTGTGTGGGGGGCATCTGCCAGAATATCAGACACATTGGTTTACATTTATAAATATTATCTATTTGATTTACTAGCTGTATTTTGTCTTGCCATGAATATCACCTATTTATTATTTACTTGTTTCATCGCTGTGTCTTGTTTATAGGAACTCTATTCCTTAAGATCTTAGTGCTAGGACTGTAAGCGCTTCAAAGATGGGAGATGCATCCAAAAGCGTTCATTCTCTGTCTCTTTCCTGTCCTTTTACTGGTACGCTTCTTGGAAATTCCAGTCATAACTGTTGCAGCTAAACAACAGCAAGATAACATTAATCATATGAACGAAGGGACATCTCCTTACCTTGCAACCCCTCTTTCTTTTAGTAATCACGGCGGTGAGATAGGAATGAGTTAGGATAGAATAATATTGGGACATGGGCTAGACCTTACCTTTCATGCCATTTGGCCCGGGCTGGCCTTGGGCACTTTTCCATCTCCGTTTCTTGTCTATTCCATTTCTCTATTTGTTTCCATGTCCTTTTCAACGACTTTCCTCCCTTCTCTTTGCTTTCAATTCCTTTTTATTTATATTTTTTTAAAAACAAGTGGAAAACATGATCAATTCCATTCCTTTGTGTTTCCATGTTCTTTGCACTTTCCTGCTATTTCTTTCCATTTCTTTGCTTCTCTTTCCCTTTATTTCTATTCCTTTCCACTCCTTTCCACTCCTTTGCATTCGCCTTCATTCTTAGCTAGAAGAAGTGCCCAGGGCCAGCCCGGGCCGAAAAAGTGCCCGTTTCGAAATCCCTTTTCATGTGCTTTGCGTTCCTTCCATATCCGGCTCAATCCTGTCCATCTTTCTTTCCACTCATTTTCATTCCTTTCCATTCCTAGCTAGAAGTGCCCAAGACCAGCCCGGGCCGAAAAGTGCTCCTTTCCCAAGTGTCCATGTCAATAATTTTGAAGCGGCGTGGTTCCTTTCGATTTCTTTAAGATTCAGTTTCATGTCCTTTCCGTTCCATATTTGTTTCATTCCTTTCCATATTTATTTTGATTAAATTTATATTCTATTCCTTTGCTTATATTTCCTTCCTATTTCCTCTCCTGTCCATTTCTGTGACTTTCTCTCCCTGTCTTGTCCATTCCTGTCCATTCCTGTCCATCCCTTCCTTTCCATTGCTTTCCATTGCTTTCCATTCCTAGCTAGAAGTGCCCAAGGCCAGGCCGGGCCGAGAAAGTGCTCGTTTCGCAATGTCCACTCCTTTCTTTTTCACGTCCTTTCCATTTCTTTCCAAATCCTTGTCATGCCTTGTTTCCATTGCTATTTCTTGTTATTACATTTGCAATTGTGTTTCCATTAGCTTTCACGTGTTCCAAATATTGTTTGTTCCATGACGTTTCTATTTCGTGACTGTTTCCTTTTCATTTCGCTCCATTCCATGTCGGTTATTCTTTTCTACTAGATTGATTTTGATACAAAGCGTGATGCTACGCCAGTGATGTATCTCGTAAATTAGGAAACGTTAACTATCATAAGCAACGGAAAAAAGAAAACATGGAGATGTACACTTCTTGCATCGAAACAAAACAGAGGATGCGTTTGTGCTTCATTCACTAAATTGATCTCTTTCATTTAAAGAGATCTCGATTCTTACACGCCACGCACATTTGGTGCAATCTTCCCAACCACGGGGGGGGCAGCAGAGACATAGACACAGACACAGACATAGACACAGACACAGACACAGACACAGACATAGACATAGACATAGTCATACGTACATCATAGCTTACTATACACTACTATACATTACATACACTACATACATAAAATACATAACACACAAAACACACAAAACACATATATCATACGCATCATACATGTCATACATGTATACGTTCCTTCCTTCCTTCCTTCCTTCCTTCCTTCGTTCGTTCGTTTGTTTGTTTGTTTATTCATATATACAGACACCGTCCTTGCATTTGAGGGTGCACGGAGTGATGTGATCCTTCGGCTAGACTGGTGTGCGGGTGCGGTTGACCCAGCATTACTTTAGGCTCAAGGGGTATTTGGGGACCTGAGGTAACGCTGCCAGGAACCAATCTGACTGCGACATTTCCCAAAAAATGCTGCACGTAACTCCACGAAATGTGGCAAAGAAACGGGTCCCAAGGGAATCGAAAGGGAGCCACAGGGGGTAACCTTCGAGTCCAAGTTTGGCACATGTTTTGCTTCCTGGTCGGATTTGGCCCGCCTGCCCATGCTGATCGCCCCTCCCAGGCGCAAGCAAAAGCGAAAAGTGAAGGAGACGAGGAGCGGGCATGAACAATTTGATTGCAGACACGGCTTGCAAAACCACTTTCAGGGTAGGTTGGTCGACCATTGCTGGAACTTATTTCTGCGTGTGGTGAAGATACCCTGGCAAAAGTCCAGCATACCTGTGGAGGCGATGAGCTCGAAGCTAGAGTGGCCTCATGTATTGTTTCATTTGGGTTCTGTCGCAGTTGACTTAGGCGGCGGGACAGCAAGCCCTTGTTTGATTGCGTTGCTGGCGACCACCAGAACATCGTGAAGTGGCAAGGGTTTTGGGTCTTCGGGGTTGCTCGGAGCCTACCAACCTCCAAGGGCCGTCGTTGAACCGCAGGAGGCGCAGAGTGTCGACCAGGGCTTCATCACCGCGCTAGAGCACGGGCTGCCGCCCACCGGCGGTTGGGGCTGCGGGATCGACCGGCTGGTGATGCTGCTGGCAGACAAGAACAACATCAAGGACAGGCGCTGACACATTTGGTTCTCGATCTTAGGTGAGTGAGGATTCCCAGCGTTCCAAGGACGTGTGTAGGTGTTGGTTGGCCCGGTTCGTGCGGATGCTCGCTTTCACGTCATTTTGAATGCAGTTTGCAGCTCGAAGGCACGAAAACAATTGAGCGCACTTTGAGGTGTCAGTTCCGACCTGTGATTTGGATGCCGTGGTCTCAAGCTCGCAGTTGGCAGATCCAAGGTTGCATGTACCTCGCTACCAAAAAAATCGGCGCGGTGCTATTTTGAGGGTGTCTTTGGGGAGACTGGTAGAAAAATGCACGCAAAAAAGGGATCCAAATGGAAAGCAAACCCCACACCCCCAAAATCCAGCTAGGAAGTGATCTTGTTCCCGGCCATGAAGCCGCTGCGCGAGGCGGGGCTGGTCCTGATTCAGTGCAGACGTCAATTTTTTACAGGGGCCATTTCTCGCTGCTATGTTGGGGAGGGAATGAAGACCTGGGCAACTTATGCCAGATGTTGTTTTTGGTGGCTGTGGTATCCCACTGCGGAGCACGAATTAGGGACTTCCCCCCATTTTGAACAACCTGAATGGATTGGGGGAACTCTCAGAATGGATTTCGTGGCTTGGCGGTTGGACCTGTTCAAAAGCGCAAGGAGCTCAAGCGTCATTGTTCAAGTGGTCTAAGCATTCCATTTAGAGGTAATGGTGGTTGCTGTTTTGAGCAGGTCTTTCACCCGAATTTTATTTGAAAGCCGCATGGGTACCCTCAGTTGCAAAGCCTCAATTCCTCGCAGGCAGGCAGCAAAGCTTCTGCCATTTCTCCGGAATAAGGATAAATCGGAAAATCAAATGCCTGAAAGCCATCCCCGCCGGGGTGGCCGTGTTTTACCCCCAGCTCGCCACGAAAGAGGTAGAAGGAATGCTTTGATTTTCCCAAGATCACTTTATTGTAAGTTGTAAATACTACTCCTGCGGCAACCAATGGTCATAATTTGAGCAAGGAGAAGTGAAAGCAACGCAGGCACACAGGCACCCGTGCAGACAATCAACCATCCAGGCAGGCAGGCAGGCAGTCAGGCACACAAGCAGGCATACAGGAGACTACACACCCACCCACCCACACACGCGCACACACACACACATACATACATTCATACATTAATTCATACATACATACATTCATTCATTCATACATACATACATACATACACAGACGCGGGCGTACAAAATTACATGTCGAGCATCAAGCAACAAGCAACAACCACGCGCCAGGCTTGAGGACGCGCTTTCACCCAAGATGAAAAATACAGGCCAAAGACGAAATGGAAGACAGACATTCAATGGAGACGAAAACAATATCAGGATGACAAATTCAGTAGCTTCACCCCATGCTAGCTGGCTAGCTAGGGATTAGTTGGCAGGGGGGCGTCATCAGCTTTCGGCCTCAACTTGTCCATTTCAATGGAATGCACATCTCGCTTATTTCCAGCACCTGTTTGCTCGACGTTTTCGGTGGATAGATAGGGTTGGGCATTGTGCTCTTTTGATGCATTCAGTTTAGTAAGTTTAGTTTGCCTGTCTCCATTGCCGGGAATCTTGTAGAACACGTAGCCCATGTCGGCTGCTGACCTTGCACCGGCCGAAGCTTTGAAAGGACACCAAAAGGAACACCCCATGTTTGGGGCCCCATTTTGACTACATGCCCATGTATCACCAGCATCCAACAGGACCAAAGTCAATACAGGTCCCGATCCCAGCGCAGCACGCCGACCATCTGCATGTTTTAGCATAAATGAGTGTGTGGCTAGGTAGGTATGCACATGATATAATATAAAAACGTATATGTATATATATATATATACGTAGATATGATTGGACAACTTGTTCAATCAATATCCAACTGGCAGTGACATGTTTGTTTAAATACGATAACGCTTAATATTGGGGTGTGTCTATATAAATATATATTGTATCCATAAATACATATATAATGTTGTTTATGGTGGATAGTATTTGGGATCGAGCCAAAGCTTGGTGCGGAGCCATTCGGGACATCTCACCCAGCTCTTGGGCGGCATGGCGTTGGTTGCGTCGTTCCTGAAAGATGTCCAAGTGAACTGGGGATCGATTGCTTCGGTGAGCGAAGAAGCGTCCAGGGCTATGGAGTTCGTCCAATCCAAAACTAAGCCACCAGAAGATCTGATTGCGACATCTCAGTTGCCAGTGAGTTCAGTGCGTGATGCTGTGATCTTGCTGCAAGGGCCTGGCAGCGGCGAAGGTCGGGAGCTTGACCTCGAGGAGTTGAGGGAGATCATTGCTGAGCTGATTGCGGCATATGGTGAGCCAAGCCTGCAAAATAAGATTCACTCGATCCAGGAACAGCAGCGGAAGGCGCAAATCAAGCCCAGTTGCTCCGATGACCAGGATGACCACATGGCAGAGCTGCGGGAAGTTTTGTGGCCATGCCAGACAGATATTGCAGAAGCTTATGGTTTGCCAGGCACCGCTGAAGGCTTGCAACGTATTCAGAACGCAGTTCAAAGAGCCATCACGGAAGGTGATGTGGAGGTCCGATGTTTGGCAGATGAGGCTCTGATGCTTTTAGGCATGAACCCTTTGCACAACATCATTCAAGAGGTGAAAGCTGAGGATTTCCTGAACTGCATCTACTCAGTTGCCGGCGAGAGCAGCGATGTTGAGATTGAAGACTTCCTTCTGAATCTGAAGTGCCGCACTCCCTTGGAAAAGGCCGCTCGAGCCCGTGGTCTCTTGGCAGCTCGGCGCCTCAAAGAGGAGCGGCAGCCTCCCGGCGGCCGTCTCACCTGTGGCCTGCTGCGGACCTGGGCGGCCTATGAGCGCCTAGGCCTCGCCCCACGGCACATCGCCAGCAGGGAACCTATGCCGGTGGTCCGCTTGAAGAACCCCACCGCCGCCCAGGTCTGGGACTTTGTGATGCGAAATCAGCCCCTGGTCATTGAGGACGCCGTGAACATGGCGGACTTCCCGCCGCTCTGCGACTTCGCCGACTTCGAGTATCTCCGCGAAAGATGCGGACACCGCTATGTGAAAGTCAAGGGCGACTCGTGCTGGGACAGCAAAGGGCGACAGCTCTTCTTGAATGACCCCACCATTGAAATCAGAATTTCGGACTATTTGGACTTGGTTGAGGTTGCCGAGGAGCATGAGACCTGCATCTCTTGGTATATGGGCAAGCTGCCACTGCACACCGACGTACCAGAGATGTTTGAGGACATTGCCAATGCTCCGAATTCCCCGTTCAGAAAGTACGGAAGCTGTTTTGGGGAGAACAACAAAGGCGTTCATACGTACTTCGGTTGCGGTGGCAACACGACCTGTATCCACTCAGATCCCTCGGAAAATTTGTTGCTTGTGGTCTCAGGGGAGAAGTTTTGGGATTTGTATCCACCTAGCAATGCTGCATGCATGCATACCACCGTGAAGAAGTTCCTGAACTCGCTGGTGCCACCTTTCATTGACCCTGAGCATGTGCCAGAAGACGTGGAGAAGAATTGGTCCTGTTACAAACATGCACAGGCTCAACGCGTGCACTTGAAAGCCGGAGATTTGTTCTACCTTCCAATCTTTTGGTGGCATTCAGTACAGGGTTCCATTGGAAGAAATATGATCCTGAACTGGTGGTGTCAACAACACCCATACAAAGAGTACAAGTACCAGGGCTTTGAAGGCACTCGGGAGATCTTGGAAGTCTTGCAGCACTTGAATGAGGCATGGTCTGGAGATCCAGGATCTGGACCAAGTGCTAAGGAGAGAGCTGTGGCTCAAGAGCTGGGGAGCGGCGTTTTATATGCCGATTCCATGTGTGCAGCCAGCGACAGCTACAAGAAACTCACAGCTCCTCCGCGAGATCCCATCAAATCTGCTTCCTTGATGCCCAGCAACCGTTTCCGATGGCAAAGGGCTCGTTGAATCTGAATGGACAAAGTTTCCAGGACCGTTGCATATAGTATATGGGTGATGCTTTTCTGATCACCAGGCGTCGTTGGGTCATAAGCCCCGAGATACTCCAAGCCTGGATATACTCCGCCAGATTAGTTGAATATTGGACCTTTGGCACATGTCTGATGGGCACAGGCGGTTCAAGTATGTTCAAGTAATGATTCATTGGTCAGCAGGAAGAGCACCGTGTTAGACAACAGCTTTGCCCGGCGCAGCGTTTGCCAAAAGCCCCTATTGTCGCCTCTACCTACGATTAGAGGCTGCAGGGAAACGCTTGTGAGCTGGTGATTTGCCAACGTCAAGCTGCCCGATTTAGTCTGTGGACGGTGGTTAGATGCCGGCATGAAACGTCCATTCAAGTATTATATAAATATAGATATATAGAAATATGTTTTCTATTAATGAAATAAAGGAAGGATGTGGGGGAATAGAATGTACTAAAAAAGAGTGGGTGTTGTGTTTATGAAAAATATATTTTATTGATAAAATTGTATTTTCTATTGATGGTAAATGGTAAGGGAAAAAGAAATATTAATATTAATTTTTAAAATTATGATATATATATATATTGATAATTATTATTATATTTAATATTAATATTATGGTTTAAATTATAATTAATATATAATATTTAATTATTAATAAATAAGAAAAATTAGAAATTAGAAAGAGAAACAAAATAAAAAAATATATTATAATAAATAATATTTATATGATTCGAGGTTAAGCTTTTGCTTGAGGACTATTTATTTGTTATTATGGTTTGATTTTTTTAGACATTATTTGTGTATCTATGTTGTTGTGGTTTGATTTATTCGGAGTGAGGAAAAAAATAGATTTCTTGAAAATGTAATTGTGTAATTTGTGCGTATTTTTCTGGATTGTTTTATTTTTTTCCTAATTTGTTTTGGAAGATGTAATGTTTTTATGTATTTATGGGAGTCTAGATATTTTGCAGATAAAGAGCCGATTGTTGCGACTAATGGTGTTGCGAAATTATGTAGGTTATTTTTTATGAATTTATGAAATTTAATTGATATTATATAGGTTAATTATGATTTTTTAAAGGTTAGGGTCCGCCCGTTCTTTATGTTGTTGAGAGAATTAGGATAATATTGATGGAAATTGGAGGATAATGTGTTTAGGTGTGCGTAATATTTAAGAGTAAGGTTTAAAATATTATGGTTTGAAATATATATGATGAATTATTTAAATTTAAATAATTTAGTGATAGAGATTATTGATATATATTATTGGGATATAAAGCCCGAATAATTTTTGATCGTTGTTTTGGCTTAATTTTCGGATATATGTTATATGAATTTATTTTGGCTAAAAGATTTATGAAAGAATAAGAAATAATTTTTTAGAGGAATGGTTTTTTTTTTTTTTTAAATTGGAATCGAATCCTTTTTTTCCGAGGTTTTTTTTGGTTTAACCTTAAAAAAATGTTATAAAAAGGTAAAACATTAAGAAAAACATTATTAATTATAATAATCGGATTTTATATCGCTAAATTCTCGCAAAACGAGAGCAATATTTCAATCAAAATAATACTGAAATATCTAAATAAATGATTTTCTAATCTTCCGGAAAATATCCTTCATAAATGTTCGTTCCATAACAGGTCATACCAATGCGATTTCAATTAACCTAAGGGATCATATATTCGAATCTCTTAAGTTAAATCGAAATCGGCCAATTTCATCATCTCGTTATTAATTTGAATCTTGTCTTCGGCTTTGGATGTATTTTGGTCAATGATGTTTTCATGGGCATTATAATAATTCTATATGGGAATAATTTTTTTCAGGCCAATAATTCATTCTCCCCTTATTTAGGCGACCGCGTTTCATTAACTAAATATCTCCATGTTAATATCGGATATCTGAGACATATTGTTGTTTTGTGCATCGTAGTGCTTTAGGAAGTATATTAAGGTGCTGCTGAGAAATGTGCAACTCGTCTTTAGATATTTGGGTCTCCAGAATTGGGTCTCCAATTCAGTGCATTATATAATCTTTCGAAATATTTTGTTTAAGCAGGATCCAAGACCAAGACTAAAAATTATAATTATTTATTTTTTCGAATATTCCGAAATCGATTTTTGTCAAGTATTTGTTCGATCTACCTATTTCTATCTCTGCGAATATAATTATATATATCTATCCAGAATTTACAATTTGGAGTATTTTTTTAATTTTATATTCCGATTTTGAGATTCTCCTATCATGGGCTTCATCTTGCACGCTGCTGGAAAGCAGCGGGCCCCCACTAGTAATTTGCGAACAATTTTGATCACCGAAGCCTGCAGCGACCTTGCTATTGCTAATGCATACATAACAAACTATATGTTTCATATGAAGCACGATTTCAATCGGAGTTCATCATAAACCCCCAAATCTGTTAGACCCCGTCTCAGATTCTGGTGAATCCTATAGGTTGAATCTGGATTTCTTCATAATAACCAGATTCAAAGTGTCTTTATAAATTTCATTGATTTAATATTGTTCTTATCATAGTATTACTCATCAACTCGAAAAAATCCTTCATAGACAAAACCTCAACTCATCGTCTCCGGAATACCCCACCAAAAACTCCCGATAGAGCTATACCACGCCCCTTACCAAAGCTATAACATGTTTAGCACACCTTATAATTGGTCAAAATAACTATACTCTCTATCATTTCAGTGTGGTTATGTAGAGTCCACTTGCAACCTAATTTGTGGTAGCACCGACCGCCGCTTATCACCCAAACAACAGTCCTGTCTACAAATAGGTCGTTGCTCGCTAATAACCTCTCAGCTGTAAGCTCCTCAAAACGTAAGCTGCTGACCACTCGCACATCCACCGTCTATATATTACGATCCGCAGACGTTCCGTTTATAAAACTGATATCCATGCGCATACATACAGAATGTATAACAAACACATAACAAAAAAATCACAAATCCGCTAAACATAACATCACAATATCAAAGACAATCCAGAATTAATTCTCGCTAATAAAGACGTCCTTCATCTTCTCCACGTGCTTGGGATAAGGTTCCATCCCCAATCGACCATCTGGCAACAACACATATTTCCGCTTCAAAAACCAAATCTCATCTCCAAGCTTCTGCAAATACCAGTCCATCCTACACACAAAAGAAATTTGGCGACTCCACACAAGGATTTGCATTCAAATATCGCACTACAAATCCACAAAAGTCTTCATACCAATTTGCGGAACCATCACGTTGGCCTGGCACACACATCAAAAGGCAATACCCCAAGATGGTACCCTGAAGCTCAACACTAATAATCGTCTTAATCTTCTGCTTCACCTTGAGGTAAGCATCTTTCACATCCACCGTTGCCACGCACCAATTCTCAGACTTGTGGCGCATATAGATGCTGGGGATAACCCGCGTATTGCATGAGCTTGATGCCGGGCTATAGAGCTGTTCTCTGCCCTTATCCATCCAAGCATATTCGCGACGCGCCTGTCGAAGCCAGAATAACTGTCTGTCTCCATGAAAACACCTAACTTTGGCGCTATAACTGCAATTTTCTCCAAACGTGAAAGATCGGCCCGAACTGCAACGCTAGCTCATCTTCATGCAAGTTCGGCTCGGCGATTGAGCCTGGAAACCAAAGTTTCTCGAGCTCCTCTTCACTAACATCCATGCTTGAAGCAGCACGGGGCATATCTTCACAAAAATGATCACCATCGGCTTGTAGGTCTTCACCTGCTTCAGTTTCTTCTCCAGCTTGTTCAGCTGGTGAGAAACAAAATTAAAGGACCGGATAACCCCACATGCTATGTTTTTCCCAAGGATGTGTGTTCAAATGTCCACACACATGTACCGTGCGCCCCTTGTATGGATGCGATTACAGAGCAGGTCTAGCGCGCTTTTTTCATCGCAGGCGTTGCTAACCTACTGCAGCCCGAGCCGCTAATCAACACAACAAAGCAAGTTCGAGACATTCTCGAACTTAGTCCATCTTGTTAGATTATTGGCTGCGCCGCACGTGCATCTCAGGAGGTCATCTTGCAGCTCAGCATCGGAGAAGATCTGGACACTTTCCCAAAGAGAAATAGCACTGTGGTATCCGTTGGACGATGTAGTCAAGCTTTTTCAGTCAGATGTCCATCTCAAGGCTTCTCCGCGGGGAACCTGCAGGGCCTGCCTTCCTGAAAGGTTCCAATGAAGGTGCGCGCTGCGGCTGGAATGTCGACAGAACGCGGACCGCTCCGCCTACCTTGTGAATCCATCAGCAGCGCCGAGGGCTTGGCAGGGCAGCCGTGGAGCAGCTTATCCAAC